TATTACCTGGACAGAAGGAAATGTGCAATCTACCATCTTTAAGTGTTCCAAGACACAGAGCCTGTTGGTTCTGTTTTAGCTGTAAGACATTTTGCAACTTCAATACATCTCCATCTACTGTTATCAAGGCAACCAGAAAATAGTTTAGTATTATTCTGATGACTTCCCTTTGGTTGCTAGCTTCCTTATTATTTCTGTTGCTGCCAATAGCCTTGCCGAGATTTATCCTGGCCTTTCGATGCAACCATTTTAAAAGAATACACACAAAGTGGTTATATGAATAAATATGTGATAGTTTCACAAAGGTTTCAACATCAATAGTATAAAGTTTTCAATAGAAACAACAGAAGGCACACAAATACTATATATATTTAAACAGAAAAACACATTTCACTTATATGAATGAAGACTTTTACAACTAATGTAACTGTCCTTAGTTACAGTAACAGTTAAAAAGTGTGTTCTCATTTGTTTGCATTGACACAGTTTTTGTTTGGTTTACGGGGTCATGCTTAGTAATCATCATGACAAGCCAATGCAGGTGAAAAAGTGTCTGTTTTAAGACATATTTTTTATTGCATTCCAAATTTTGTTTCATAAACTTTGTTATAATGTTAATCTATGTCAGTTTTGTTTGAAACTAACATTTTGTTGGTTCAATCTCCCAAGGGCTATGATTCTCTGATATTTTCTCTCTAGGTGTTGTCTCTGGACACACTGTCTGTGGGTTCTCAACAACTGGTTTACATGAGCTGGGACATAAAGGGCAATGCATGCATGCATATATGCATGTTGTGTGAGCACACATCTGTGAGACAGGGAATCTCAACAAACAAATGAATGAACTTTATTTTCAAAAGGTTGAGAACTGAGCATTAGCATGCAGGCCCATCTAGCATTCTGCCCTTCTAATCTCTCTCCGTCCATACATCATTTTCGTCAGACGTCTTTTGAGTATAGATACTTTTTCAACAATCATTTCATTCACTTGTTTCATTCTAACCACCTAAGAAGTGAGGTACTGTCTCTCTCTCTCTCTCTTTCTCTTCTCTCTCTCTCTCTCCCTCCCTCTCTCTTAATCAATTTCTCTCAATATTCGGCTCATGATGTGTGTCTGTGCAAGTTATGGAACAGTAACTAAGCTTGAGTAAATAACAATGTTTGACAAAAAATGAAACATTAAAATGTGGCTCACAAATGCCACTAAAAACAGTTCATTAGTTGTTAGTTTTTAGCTGAGGATGTCATCTCAACAGATACTGGTCGTGACCGACCAGATGGTTGTTGCAGGTAATCATGTTTTTGAGTGCCTCTTAAAGGTGGTAACTGACGTGTTTTGTCAGATGTGTCTTTGCTGGCACTCCCGTTAGTTTTGCCTTTGTTGTTGCCATTCTTCTCCTGAACTGTATGCTGATGTTTAGAGTTATCTTGTATGGGGCCTATGGTGATATCACTTGCTGACGTCGTCTCAAAGCCTCTGTTTATGTAACCTGCAGAAGGCTGTCTGAAATTAACAAAAAGTAAAAAAAAAACAGAATATTTTAAAGACTAACATAGGGTGAAATACACAAGTGTAGCTATTCCAAATATGCATACGGTATGCTTTTATATTTAGCAGTTTGCCACTGTTTTCTACACGATACAGCGCTCAAAACCAGTGTACATTGACACTGCTAAATTTACTGCAGATGACTCAAACCCATTATTCAGGATTATTAAACTGTGTTCATTATCAAAAATATACACGTTTTCATTAATATTTATAAAAAATATGATTTAAAAAAAGTTAATGCAATTCACACTGATTAAAATAAATGTGATTACACTGGTCTTAAAAAATTAGTACAAACTTTTATCATAAATGATTACTGTTTCCATAAGTGCTCGGTCCCCAGCTTCAGCAGCAAGTGCAGAATTCCGATTCTGAATTTACCAGTAACAGTCTGATTGAATGCCCATCTCACCTCTTCCCTGAGTGTTGAGCCTTGGCCAGATCTTCTGGTCACTCTTTGCAGACTTTGACAGTGGTACTGAGAGCTGACTATTCAGAAGCAATGGCAAATTACAGAACATAAAATTTGCCTAGAAAAACCACAACAGCCAAAACCAAAAAAAAAAAAAATGCTAGGGTGAGTTCTGCAATATCCTGTGAAGGATACCCAACTAACTTGACATACATCAATTCACCACCAAGTGGTGCAGAAACAGCCAGTCTAACTGCCTGTTCATTTCCCAACACACTGGCATAACCTGAAGGAAATATCCAAAGGATGCTAGCTAACCACCCAGGACCTCTGAAGTGATGCTTGCCACTCTGCACGGAGCATACCCGTCCCCACCTTACTCAACATGCTCTGCGTCAGTTACAATCATGATGTGTTGTACAGCTGGCTCTTAAACCAGCGGAAGGCTGCAGTGACTGTCTCCATTCTCAAATTATAACCATAAATAAAATTACCCAGTAAAACATACTTGAAATTAAATAATTAGATAATGCATAATGCCCTAGCAAAGATAAGATAACGAATATAACCATTCAACTGAAATATACAGTTAACTCTTTTACTTAGGAAATAAATGCAAAGGACGGAATATAATGGAGCTAATATGCAATGTTAAGTTCTTGATAACTAAAAAAGTGAACTCTTTGCATCATTGAAGTATTTATAGTGGAGTTTCCTTTTGACTGAGGAACGAGTGGCTGAATGGTTAAGAACACAGGGCTCCCATGCAGAGACCCAGTTCGAGAGATGAGAGAGAGAGAGAGAGACAGAGAGAGAGAGAGAGAGAGAGAGAGAGAGAGAGAGAGGGAGAGAGCCAAAGGGGTAAAACTGTGCAATGAAGTCAATTTTCTCAATCTTAAACCGTTTTAGAATTTACTTAGTAGTTTCTTTAGTCTGTGTCAACAAAACTGATTCTTTGGGTTCATTGTGTTCATCTTTTCTGTCAGATTTTCTGCTAAAAGTAGCTAGATGCATGGCTGGAGGCATGCTGTGTGGAGGCCTGTAAAATGGCTAAGCTTGAATGTGGCTAGATGCATGTCAGACGACCTGGAAGTAGCTAGATGCATGCCTAGATGCTTGGAAGTGGCTAGATGCATGCCTAGATGCCTGAAAGTAGCTAGACACATGCCTAGATGCCTGAAAATGGCTAGACGCATGCTTAGAGGCCATAAAGTAGCTAGATGCATGTCTAGAGGCTGAAAATGGTCAGATGCATGCCTAGAATCCTGAAAGTGTTGGGTCTGATTCGAGAATAGAGCAGATCTGTATTACTGACCTAGATTCCCAAGAATGACCCAGCCACAGACACACACACACACACAAAATGGACACAGAAAATTCCTTGACAACAAAGGCAGAAGACATTTCAAGGTACGACAATTAGGTTATGAGATTTTTTTATGACCAAGTGCATGGAATCCAAATTCATGATCTCAGCCACCAGATGAACCAACAACAAACAAGCCACCATTCGTTGTTGACGCAAAAAGCTCATATTAAATTCTGTTTAAAACTCAGAAAAAGTGCCATTGAGACAGTTGAGCTGATGCAACAAGTTTTATGAGAATTATTGTTTATATCATGCACAGATTTTTAGGTGGTATTCATGATTCAGAAGTGGTGCGGAAATGACTATAATGCAACTAGACCTGCACACCTAATTTCTGTTCAAAATAAGGAATTCATTGTAAAAGAAAAAGGATACAAGAAGTTGTTGTTTGACTGTGAGGATGATGGCAGATGAATTTGGTGTTAACAGAGAGACCATTTGTGGAAGATTTGGGCAAGAAAAAAATTGCTTGCCAGTTTGTACCACATCTTTGTCTGATGACCAAAAACATCAGCGTGTTGAGTACACAAAAGACACAAACAGAAAGTGTCACAGAGATAAACTTTTCTAACATTTGATTGTTGCAGAGGATGAAGTATGGATTTTCTTCAATTATCACTAAACTCAACGCCAAAGTGCTCAGTGAAAGTAATCATCACCACCAAAAGGCATACAAAATCCACTTTCAAATGTCGAACGAGAAGACAATGCTGGTGTGCTTCTATGACAACAAAGGAGTAATTCGCAAAGTTTTTATTCCAGATGGACAGACTGTCACAGCCACAGTTTATTTAAGTATTTTGAAAAGGATTCTCCGAGTCCGACCCGAGTATTCAACACTTGGCAGTTTTTCCTTCTTCATGACAATGCACTGGCTCACCGGGCGGTAGTTGTACACGAATGTTTGGCCCAAAAACTAGTGTGTGTTCTAACCATCCACCCTATTCCCCAGATTTGTTTCCTTGTGATTATTTTCTATTCCCAAAATTAAAGTTACTATTGAAAGGACACATCTTTGACGATACTAATGACATCCAAAGGGCCGTAACATTGACTTTAAGGGCCTTAACAACAGAAGAACTACAGAAGTCGTTCCGGTATTTGTAAGATTGTGCCACTCTCTGTATCAGTGCAAAAAGGATTCACTTTGAAGAAAATCCAGGTTATATCTTAAACTGTTGATTATTTTAATTTTTATGGAATTAGTCTCATTACCTTATTGTCGGACCATGTATGTCGACATCAGTGAGTGCTGACAGGTCTATACAAACATGGGTCTAGAATATATATACCCTTTACTTCAATGTGTGAGATAAGTCATCTACAATTTTTTTTTTTTATGATAAATCTCTTTTGCCTTTTAAAAGTGAACACTTAAATAACTAGAAAATTAAGCAGAATAACCCATGCATACAGTAAAGAACTCAAAAAAATGTATAAATGAGAAAACAGAAGCATGCAGATTAAATACAAGAAAACATCTAACGATGTAAGATACACATCAAATACATGCTTACAACTAAACATATATACATGACACACACAAACATGCAGTGCCAGTGAGCAGTGAATGTGTGTGTGTATGGGTGCGTGTGTGTGTGTGAATTAGCTTCGAACAGTTACCAGAACAGATGTCTTTTTCAGTGACTCACTTGGTCAGGAACTAGCTATAGACTGGTACTGGCCCTGATGAACAAAATATAACTGTTGTGTAACCTTATCTACTCTTAAAATGAAAAGAAGGGACACCTGTGTGCTGTGTGTTGTGAATGTCTTTTGTCAAAGTTAAATCTTTTCTCCGACAGAAGGACTCAGAACCAAGGAATTCATGGTTGGGGGGGGGGGGGGGGGGGGGGGGAGAGAATGAGAATCTTAAACAACTGTTTATACAGGTCACTAGAAAAATGTTGGTGAGTAATCAATAAAATGATGAGGAGCCTATAATTAAATATACACAATTATTTAGTCTAAACAAAATTATACTCTGAACACGTCGCTGAGCAATCAGGGAGGGTCAAGGGTAAATTACAGTGTCATAATAGCAACTCATCAAAGTACTATTCTTTGTAAATATAATAATGTCCTGTTACCTAAACACTGCATAGGTGCAAACAGAACCAGTGCGATTAACTAGGTCAAGCGGGGACTGGAAACAGATGCAAAGTTTATATATGGGTTTACATAGAATGTGCAGCAGATGGCAAAGCAGAAGCATTTCAATAAGCAGCTGGGGTAATAATGACATTTTACTACAATTTTTTAGAACAGGTCACTGCAGACATGGCCATATATCGGCACTTACAGGAATGTGGCCCAACTGGATGTGACTACATTGAGGCTTCTCGGGGTTAAAATGACTAACACTGTACAATGGATTTATACCAAAATGTTCTGTTCAAGAAGTCACCCTCATGGGCATTAACCTTGCTCCAGAAGGTGTATAGTGATGCCAGTGAAAAAGAAAATTACACATATCTGTGTGACAAAAGTGAGAAGAGATTAGATTGTCTTTCTCTTCAAGTGTCCTGTCAGAGCAATGCTATGACAATAGTCTCTATCTGATAAAACTCAATGGGTTTTGGAACAGCTGCGGCAGGGTATAGGAATAGCACTGGGTTACAAAGAGTACCCAAGAAGAGTCCACAACCATAGTAGCGCAAGCATTTCTGTGAAGGTTGTGCCAGTCAGGAAAAACAGAGTATTCAACATTTTTATGTGGACCATGTGGCAAAGACTGCCACTCCCACACTGAATGAACTTCTCAGTTATAGCAGACGATGTTCCCAAAACTAGTGGTACAACTCCATAGTCGTTAAGGACTGACGGCTGCCTACTGTACTGTGTTAGTGTTAATGGATGATGTACACAAAAGACAACTGCCTACTGTACTGTGTCAGTATTAATGGATGATGTACACAAAAGACAACTGCCTACACTGATAAACAATCACAATATTGAGCATGTACTGGATGCTGTTCAAGGAAACAGATGTCTCAGTCTAGAGAAAACAGCCCCAACAGTTGGAATATCGGACGGAAGTTCCCACAATAACTGCATGTGCATCATGTTTGTCAAAACAAGATTCCCAAAATTGTAATTAAATCTGGACAAAAAAGGAAGTGATACAAGCATTCTTCACCAGTACAACCCAGATAGGCTTGGTTTTGAAGAATGAGACATCAATTTTTTTTTCCCCCCAGACATGTACTAGTCTTAACAAAAGTCTGACTATGATTAATAATTAGTGTGCAATAACCCACTTCAGAAATATTTTTAAGCTATCACCTACAACATAAATATGCATGCCTGTGCACTGATGTGTGTACATACATGTTGCATGAAGTGCTTGTGCATTTAAACTGTGTCTGTATACCAGCACATACATACATACATACATACATACATATATATTAACAAACATATATACTACTTCTTTTTTTTTGTTCATCCTTAAACAGGTGTGGTTCTTATTTTGAGTCCCGGCCCAAACATAGCATAATTGGGCTTTTATTCATGCTTTCTCACCTGTGACATGGGCTAGTCTATGTTACAGGGGTTTCCTGTCATCTCGTCTCTGATGCGATCAGCAGTGATGTTGCGTTTTCTATACTACACGAAGATACCGCTTTTCTTGACCCCAGAACATCTAGAACTGGCCTTAACCCCAAACCCCTAATCCACAGCCTCAGCCTAGGTTCCATGAGAAAGTCCAAAGTAGGTCCCATGGTTTCAGAATTGTTAACATTTTCTGCTGCTCCCTAAAAACCTGTCTTGCTGCAGCAAAGCAACGCCCTTCTCCTTGTTACTTGTTAACAAGTTCCCAGGAGGTTGGCATGTTTTGTTGTGATTTACAGCTAGCTTGCAATATCTGCACCTTTTGGGCTAAAACGCTGACTATCAAATCCTTAACTTAAGATGCTCTTTACAACATGATTGTTAGGAGTCAGTTGGTCTATTCACAGACATGCAGACAAACAAGCACATACACATTCATCCATTGAAACATGCACAACACCAATATCTATATTCAAAATATTTTCCCACTGTAAATTTAAAAAATCAGTATACAAACAATATATTGTTCAACACCCTGCTTGACCACTGATTGTTTAAACAGCTATAATTTCCTTAAAAAATCACACACAGATGCAAAACATGTCTAAATAAAATTACAAACACCCATTATAAACTGTCAGTGACTGTTACAATAAGTTCACAAAAGCACATTAGTGAAAGGAGGATTTCTAATGGGTGACAAAGTACAAGCTGTGTAAACTATCACCCTAGTAGGTACATGTAAAAAGCTTGATAGAAAAACAGTTTGCTGCAATATGTTAGAAGATTGGTAGGTGAGATTTTTATATAGAAATAGTTTCAACTCTTTCAGCACAAAGGAATTTACATTACATTTTTGGTTACTCTGCATGGGATATATATATATATATATATAATAAATTATGTTTATGTTAATGTACTCTATCCAAGTTGCTTAGGTTAACTAATTGTTTTCTTCTTTATTTCAAACTTAGAAGGGCGGTTAGCATATAATGTTGTGGCTTACGGCAAGGCCTTTCTGCCCAACACATCTAATTTCAGCAAAACCATAATAAGTGCCCTTTTATGGCTTGCGTTTTACGAGGCTGTGAGTCTATTCCTCCCCCATCCCCCCCCGGCTCTGGAGCTCCCAATGGGAGCCTGTACTGTCTCATACTTAACTTGTTTTTATCTCACAAAAACTCAAAGATTGTCACTCTAAAGTACAAAACTTGGGTACAGTAGGTGGCAAGTGCCTGTGGCTGAAAGAGTTGATCACTTTAAGCTGCACCAAATTATGTAATATATTTGTGCCATTTTCTGGATAGAATGCACTTTCTGGGTTTTTGGTCTTATATTATTATTCACATGTAGGATAAAAAGAAGGTACAGATGTGATTACTTAAAAAATTAACACTATTACGATTCTTGACTGATTTTTAAATTATGAAATAATGTCATACAATTATTTTTTTTTAAGTCAATGATTATATCAATCAATCAATCCTCATCACACCCTGAGGAACATGGGTCAGAAATATTTATATCTTATGTCATTATTCAGTTATGTTTTCATTTACTATAAAAGAGTTGTAGTTTTATGTGTGAGTTTAAATTTTGGCAAACAAAATGCAGCAAGGTGCTCCTAGACAGAAAAGTATGTCTGGATATACTTTACCTGATACTGATTTGCTCTGCTTATTACTCCCTGATGATAAAAATATGCACAGATATATCCGCTTGCTTAGTTACACAAAGGGGCCTTAAGTGAAAATCTTATTTTTTTTCGATAAAAAAAATTATAGTAAAAAAAAAAAACAGGAAAAAATACAGAAGAAATATATCTCTTTCCAAGTAGTCACAATTGCGATCAAAGTGATTCTTCCCATTTAAAAAAATTGCTTGGATTCATGTCAAAAAACATTCTCTTGGCCCGTGTTTAATCATACAAACCTCAACTGCTATACATCTTCACTGGACTGAAAATCCGTTACTTCCAAGGACTCTCTGAATTGTCTAAACAGGTGGAATTCACAAATCACTTAGGTCGAATACAGGGAATAAGGTATACATTTGAAACTGGTTTCAACTGTTGCATGCGGCAGTATGGGGTCGAGCACTATGTTGCAAAAGGACATTTTGACTCAGAATTCTACAACGTTTAGATCTGATTGCAGGTCGAGTATGATTTATGAGAAGATCTGTATACTATCATTGGTGACAGTTTTCCCCTTTTGGCATGCAGTGCTCTAAAATAATGCCTCATTCCACCCAAAAGAGAGTCAATATAACCTTCCATAGAGATGGCTGTGTGCAAAACTTGTTTGATTTTGGTGAGGAGGGTTGGCACCATTCCCTGCATATTCTCTTTATTTCAGATTCACAGTAGTGAACCCAAGTTTCATCTCCAGTAACGATTCTTGGGAACTGTCATCATTTGCATGAAAGCATGACAAAAAGTTCTTGACCAGTGTCATGTTTTCAATTGTGAAGTAAGGTATAAGTTCTTGACAAGCATCATGTTTTCAGTTGTGAAGTAAGCTATAAGTTCTTGACAAGCATCATGTTTTCAATTCTAAAGTAAGCTACCGTGGCACCCACCATGTAGACACTTTGCATCATAGATGATGTGGTGTGCTGAACCTTGACTGATGTCAAGATGTGCATCTATGACACTCACAGTCAATCCCTTGTTTTCCTGTACAATGCCTTCAATGCTGCAATCGTCCTGAACCGGTCGTGAACAGTGTGTCCCAGAAGTCATCCTTTTTTAAAACACCCTACTCCACTCATACACTTTCTGGACACTGACAGGCATGCGACACCAAACTGCACCTTGACCTGACATTTTCCCCCACCAGTACATCACACCGTGCAATAAACACCAAGTGACACAAAGTGCCACTATTCGGATGAGGATCACCCAGTCACAGGGTCCCAGAAACCCTGTTCAACCATTTAGAGTTTTTAGGTTATATCAGGGCCCCCGGCAACAGCTGCAGTTGGGCTTTCAAATAACATAAAATTACATTCCACATGGAAATGTGGTTATAACTGCTCCTTCATTTGCACCTATTTAGGTTTCACTGTTCCTAACTGATGCATGTCAAAAGTGGGCCAACCATCTTTAAATTGTCATTAAGACGTCAAAATGTTTGTCTGCACGGTGATATCAGGTACTTAACACTCTTTACACCTATAACAGCAATTTTGACAGGTTCCAAAACAATGGCATGGTTACTGTAATTTCTGTCATACTTTTAAGATTTTCATTTGAAGCCCCCTCGTATATTTGAAAACTAACTAAAGAAAGGTTTTAAGAAAGAAGAAACAATTCAAAAAAGGCAAACAAATAAGACACATGTCTGCAGAACCGGTGGTGTCAACAGTTGAAACACAAAGAAGATAAATACTGTGTTGTATCAACTGTTTCAGTGTCCAGGTTTCTGCAGCATATGGCAGGGTTGAGTATACATTACAATATTTTAGTGTTTCTATCCATTACATTTCTATGCTTTTCTTATATATGGATTTTGTAATGTTTCCACCCACGCAATGTTTAGAAATATTGGATATGTTTATATTTACTTTAAAAAAAAAAATGCCACATTAAAAAAGAGTCTGGGTGGGTGGGGGGGGGGGGGGGGGGGGGGGATTGTGAGGTTATCGAAGTGAATATGAATTTGTATCGTGATGTCATAACTCCACTTCAGTCTTCTCAGTCAGAGGTAACTGGCGACCAGAGCTAGCGTTAAAGCAAATAAAGAAATGGGTAACACAAAACATTTTTTTAAAGCTCCGAGACATGTCACAGAGTAAATGATCTGCTCCCTTTATATTTATTGATTACTCCCATTAACTTGTACGCAATTAAATTTTGTTTGGTCCATAGATAGAACTGTTATGAGTTTTTTCTTGTGTGTGTGTGTGTGTGTGTGTGTAAAATGGTTGTTTTCTTTTAAAGGAAGACGCATACAAAGAAAACTGGACATTAAAAAAATAAGGGTCCCTGGCATTGGTTTTTTCCCTAGGTCACAGGGATAAAAGGGTTAGGGATGAAAAGCACACACAGTCAACTACATAAAGGATGTGAACAATTACTACTGTCAACCGACACAATATACACCTGCTGATGTCTATCATGATCAAATAAGAAATAATAAAGTTGGAAGTCACTGAGTGTAATGCGGGTTAATGTGGTTAGAGACAAATTTCACTACAAGCGTCAACTCTGTAAGACTAAACTGGCTGACATCAATGAGTCTCTGGTGCTAACCCCTCTATGTGACATCCAAGTAAAGCCTGGTGAAGCTTGACTATGCCACCTGCAAGGTCAGGATAGGAGATACTATAAACAATTTTGTATAGGGGCGGTCAGCAGAAGTATCCTCAGATGGCTGCTGTATCAGAGGACTCAGCACACATGGGAATGCCCAGTGTGCAGTGATGTAGGAAGTAATAAGATAATTACAAGTTTGATGTAATGTAGCCAGTAACTGATGAGTTGATTTCTGAGTATCTTCTATCCCTGGTAGTGGCACTGATATGGGATTAAACACAGTGAAATGTAGCTGATCTTCTTGAATTAAATACTTTTAGCAGTTAAATTAACACACTATAGGTTTCATTAAATAATAGTAAAAGCATGTACAGTATAAACATAATACAGGGGTCTCATAAGTTTCCATGTGATGGCGGTAACACAAGCTTTTGTGTGGCTAGCAACTCAGTGCTATTCTCACCTCTGTTTGCTGAGTGATTCCATGAGCATGATCCGTGGGGTCGAAGCGGGCTGTGTACGCAGACAGTGTATCGAGTCACTGCAAAACTCTTGTGTGCATGGAGTTACCTTTACCTTTGTCCCAGGCATGTGGGTATTGTTGGCAATGAAAGAGCTGACAGATTAGCCGGCTCTGCCTGAGTTACAGAGGGCTGGCCTATGGATCATGCCGACACCGTTAATGCCATTAGAGAGATGGGACGTTCAGAGGATTTTGGAGCAGCACCTCCACATCTTTGCTAAGAGTGTGAGAATTGGGAGCAAAGATCAGGCACGAAAATTTAGAACTGGTTCTGTGCTGACTATATTTCATATGACTTCATTCCTGATTTGACCTCTTCTGGACACTCCTATTCTTTCTCAGACACCTCATTTCCATGGTTACTAATTTTCTTTTATGTTTTGTTGTGAGCCCCTTTACATCTCATTGTGCTTGTTGTAGCTGTCAATCAACTAAATGGTATTAATTTAATGAGATAAAAGACATTAAAATATTGAGGTGTATGAATAGCATCAGATGACAAATTATCAAAGAAATCAATTATAGAACAGGAAGTGCAAAGACTGCTATTTACACAATGAAAAAACATAAGCTACAGTCACTGCAGGTTTTAAGACATGACTATGAATACTGGATAGTTAATCAATGAGCAAAAGGACAGGAAGTCAACTTGACATATCTCAAGGATTCCAAGACACAAAGACAATGTACAGCAAGAACCATAAGGAGACAGTTATAATACAAAATGGGAACATTGAGAAAGTACTATCACATATTTTACAAGGAACTTGACAATAAAACATCTACAAATGAAAAAACTTAGAATTTACCCATCTTGCTCCTGATGTTCTCGTTCCTGGGGTTTTGGTGCACTTTTCTTTGTTTTATGTTGTTTTTGTTCATTGTCTTTTGGTGTACTTTCTTTTGTTTCATGATGTTTTCGTTCACGGTCTTTTGGTGTACTTTCATCTGTTTCATGAAGTTCTTGTTTTTCGTTATTTTCATTTCGTCCACTTTCATTTGGTCCACCATTAGTAACAGCTAGGCGATTATTAAAAATTATTTTAAAAATGTTAAAAAGAGATCAAGAGAATAATGTGACAATCACAATTGCTGCAAACATTAAAAAGAAATTGTATGGCTAAGCAAACAAACACACATATGTACACACATACAGACATACACTGTAGCTTTAAACATGTTTGATTGTACAGGAACACAAGACACAATTGTCTATGCTATATTCTACTGCTTTCTGCAGCTAAAACATTTTGTCAGTTATGATAATTTGCTATTTATCCTTGTTTCACAACCCTGCCATTGAGGATTTCATTTAAATAAAATGTTCCCCGTGTGGGTTCCGGGGCCCTATTATAGGGAAAACAAGAATAGACCCACTGATTACCCAAAAGCCTGTCGTAAAAGTCGACTAATTGGGAGCTTCTTTCGAAGTCGGAGTACATCTGCCTGAGAGGCAAGGAACCAACAGCCTGCACACAAATGTGTCAGATCTGTCAAACGGATGTACACGCTACACTCAGGTTTTGGGACAGGACTGCAGTCCAGAAGTGGACGAACAACCAGAACTTTCCACCAGAGTTTACAGCTGGTGAACGCAAAGAAGAAGCCTGTTTCAGAGAACTCTTCCTGCTCTGATGCCGCAAGGCTTTCCACAAGTAGAGTAAAGAAGAAGACATGTAAGATGTGAATAGGGCATTTGATAATAGATTCATCTACTTATACATCAGTCAGTCCTTGTTAGGTGACGCTGGCCAATTTCATATGGGGCATTGTTACTTCCAAGGACACTTCCTGGTACATATTATATTTTAAGTTGTGTCAACCATGGCTGATTTGTACTTGTGCATAACAATCAGTCACACATGGTGCTCACTTAGAAAGAATGCCTTGTAATGCCATTCCCTACAAGGCTTACAGTAAAAGAGGAGGAGTTACAAAGCATGCCAAAGATAAGAACGAGATGGATAGATACCATCAGAGAAACTCTATACGATGTGATAAGGCGGCCAGAAGAACTATATATCTCCCTCAAAACCTGAAGTGGTTAAAGAGGAAGTAAAGGCACAGGGTGCTTTGCTTGGGGTGGAAGTGGTTAATTATTCTGTGTACTTCACTGACAAAAAGTTCTGAGCTACTAACAAAGTTGATTTCCTCCTTGCGGGTTCACTTTGTGATTACTGACAAGGAGCTGTTTATAAGGGTGCCTTCTCTCAAGAAAATGAATGTGCCAGTTACATTTTATTCAATCAAGAATATGTTAAACTGGTGAGGCCAGTTACATTTTATTCAATCAAGAATATGTTAAACTAGTGAGGCCAGTTACATTTTATTCAATCAAGAATATGTTAAACTGGTGAAGCTACAAGAACAACATACATACAGTTCTGCTACTTCAATTCAAGAGGAAATTAATTTAGGTTATATTATATACGATTCTCAGAATCTTAGATGAAAAACAGGAGAAATATTGACATCTTGAAAGATCTGAACATCAAGAACGATTAGCTAATAAACAGCATCCTCTCTCAGAAGCTGAAATATTTTGGTCATATCAAGCGCAATGACGGATTGGAACAAATTATAGCAGAAGGCATGGTACCAGGAAGGAGGGGCAGGGGCCAACCGACACGAAGATGGGCACAGGATATAAGTGACTCCTTGAGTATGAAAGTACATGAGGCGGGAGAACTGGCAAGAGACCAAGTTTCTTTCAGGCAGACTGTGATGAGAGCGACGTTCTGCAAAGGACCTGCTACATGATGTTGATGATATAATATACTTCAACATACTTACCATTGTCATTCATTCATTAGGTCCATGCATTCGTAAGGCTTGTTTCTTTATTAGGTTCATTCGTTTATTAGGTTCATTCATTCATTAGGTTCATTCACTCATTAGTTTCATTCATTTATTAGGTCCATTTATTTATTAGGTTCATACCTTTATTAGGTTCATTCATTCATTAGGTCCATGCATTCGTTAGGTTCATTCCTTTATTAGGTACATTCATTCATTCACTCACTGGGTTCATTCATTCATTAGGTCCATGCATTCGTAAGGTTCATTCCTTTATTAGGTACATTCATTCATTCACTCATTAGTTTCATTCATTTATTAGGTCCATTTATTTATTAGGTTCATACCTTTAATAGGTTAATTCATTCATTAGGTCCATGCATTCGTAAGGTTCATTCCTTTATTAGGTACATTCATTCATTCACTCACTGGGTTCATTCATTCATTAGGTTCATGCATTCGTAAGGTTCATTCCTTTATTAGGTACATTCATTCATTCACTCATTAGTTTCATTTCATTTATTAGGGTCCATTTATTTATTAGGTTCATACCTTTAATAGGTTAATTCATTCATTAGGTCCATGCATTCGTAAGGTTCATTCCTTTATTAGGTACATTCATTCATTCACTCACTGGGTTCATTCGTTCATTAGGTTCGTTAGGTCCATTCATTCATTAGATCAATTCTTTCATTAGGTTAATTCATTCATAAGGTTAATTCATTCATTAGGTTCATTCGTTCATTAGGTCCATTTGTTCATTAGATCCATTCAATCATTAGGTTCATTCAATCATTAGATTCATTCATTCATTAGGTTAATTAATTCATTAGGTCCATTCGTTTATTAGGTCCATTTGTTCATTAGGTCCATTTGTTTATTGGGTCCATTTGTTCATTAGATCCATTCAATCATTAGGTTCATTCAATCATTAGATTCATTCATTCATTAGGTTAATTAATTCGTTAGGTCCATTCATTTATTAGGTTCATCTGTTCATTAGGTCCATTCATTCATTAGGTCCATTCATTTATTAGGTTCATTCATTAGGTAATTCATGTATTAGGTTCATTCATTCATTAAGTTCATTCATTCATTAAGTTCATTCATTCATTAAGTTCATTCATTCATTAAGTTCATTCATTCATTCATTTCCTTATTTCATAAGGCCTTTTCATTCATTAGGTCCATTTATAAGGTCTATTTATTCATTAGGTCTATTCATTCATGTTTTATTCATTTATTAGGTTCATTTTTTCATTAGGTTTATTCATTTTTAAGGTCCATTAACACATTAGGTCTATTCATTCAAGAAGTCTTTTCATTAAGTCCATTTATTCATTAGGTCCACTCATCCATTTGGAATTCATTCATTAACTCCATTCATTCATTGTGACAAAGTCTTATCTTCCACATCCACCCAAAGCTCAATCAGATGTGCCTTAACGGAACCAGGTAATAAGATAGTCAGTGTGTCTCTTGTGTTTAACAACACAGCCAGTGACGCAACACAGCATGAAGGATCAAGTCATACAGAATTAAGATTGTTTATTGAAAAACACAATATGGAGTTTAAGTAAGTTGATTATTTCATTTAAACAATAATATGATCACTATAGTATAAGTTGCTATGACGATCCTTGGGCCATTACTAATCTTTTCCAAGTCCCTTCTGACCAAGCTTAACTTTCAGTCATAGAGTAACTGCTACAAACTACAGTATTTGCTTTCTGACCACCCGGCTAAGATGCCTAGTTCTAACTGCGATTTCCCACCATCCTTTCATGTCTTCATGGACCTGTTCATTCCTATCTTCTTGGATTCTTTATCTGTTGGTCCTGTCTTATTTAAAGGATTAATCTTTGTTGACTCTCAAGTGCTTTCCCAAAGTGATCCTGGCATATCTCAATGCTATGGTCAGTGGTCCCGCTGTATCTACCAGAGAGATTAGTAGGATTTCTGTCTGTATCACCTGGTCTTAAACGCTCTGGCCGGCATGTGAAAGCTATCTGTGTTCCTGTAATGAATCCCAAAGGCTGGCATATCTCGATGCTTCAATGTCAGAGTTTTCCCTGTGTTAATTTATCAGGAATAATAGTAATTGCTCGCATCTCTCCTAATCACTGTCTTACCACATCATTAGGTCCACTCGTTCATTAAGTCCACTCATTCATTAGGTCAGTGAGTCAAATTTGCTATAAATGTTTGTTTCACCCTGGCTTTCCACGGCGACAACAATGACTACCATCTTAGAAAATGAAATTCTTAAAAGAAATAAATCACGCACACAAGAGCATATCACTTCATGAAATTTCTAAAGCAATATGATGTGTGTAAGCGTGCACATGTCTGTGTGGACATTCATGTACATGTGTGTGTACATGTGAGTGGGTATGCGTGTGTGAATGCCAGCATATGTGTGCAAGGAAGGTTCTGGAAGAAGGCAACAGTCCAGAAGTGAATGAACAACTAAGACTTTCCATTGGAGTTTAGACCTGGTAAATGCAAACACACTGTTAATGCTTCTCCCTGATCAGCAACATTTGACAGCCCATTTTCAAACATTTTGTTTTGCATACAGAGAACAGGACTGATTAGTACAATCCCCATTTGTCATTTTGTAGTTTTTCCAGTAATAATACAGTAACTTTTTTTCACAACCGTTGTGTGTCATTTTTTTCCCCCTGATATATCATTGAAGGAGCAGATCAAGCACATGAGGTATGTTTTAGAACAGGGCTAGGCAATTGACTGATGTAAGGAACTGTCACAGAGTTGTTCTTCTGATGAATAGGAAATTAATTGTTGGACTGCAGTAAAGGTACTATTTCTTCCTACTCAGGCTAAGATGTATGGCAAGGTTATTTTTTTCTATGACATCTGTGCTGTTAGCATGTCCCATAAAAGTGGTTTGCACTGTTCAACAAAAATATCACATGACTCTTACCTTTTGATTTCTTTTTGTTCTTCTTGTAACAGTACACCGCAACCACAATTAAGGCGATAACCACAATAGGGATGATTATAGAAGTGCATACTATCAGAGGAATGTCAGGCTTATCTGATCCTGGTTTTTCTACAGGAAAAAAAAAATAAACACACAGGTTAGCATTGCATTCAAATTGTACACTATACACATGTGTGTATGTGTGTGTGTGCATGTGTGTGTGTGTGTGCATGTGCGTGCTTGCATGTGTGTGTGTGTGCAAGGGTATGTGTTTATGTCAATCTGTGTGTACATGCATGTGCATCTGTGTTTACATGTGCACATGCATGCATGTGCCCACCCACCTAAATAAACAAATATGAATGTATCTAAATGTACATGTGAATTTCATAAGTAGACAGGCAGGCATGCATGTATGTGCATATGTAAGTATATATGTATGTGGGTAGTACATATGTCTGAAAGTGTATCTTGTTTTTTTGCCTGCATCTATGCATACCACTCCACTAAAACCGGTCCCGAAAGACTGTTCCTGTAAATCTCAGTTTCTGATTATATCTCTTTCGATGATGCAAACTTTTCTATGTGTATTTTCACATACCTCAGTCTGCCAGTCATGTAATTTAACTTCTTTTTTCTGAAAATGGGAGTTTGCATGGTGTGTTGTGGTTTACAGCTTGGCAGTGAATCTGCACTTTTTGATCCAACACATTTGATTTTAGCAAGTCCCTAATTATTCACTTTGTACATCATGCTTGTGAGGGGCGACAGTAGGTCGGTTCATTTGTCCCCCAGAATATGTCCCTGGAGAGAACAGCCTTGCATCCAGTTTCTGGAACAGGGCTGCAGTCCAGAAGTGGACGAAAAACCAGAACTTGTCATTGGAGTTAACAGCTGTTAAATGTGAAGAAGAAGAAGAAGAAGAAGAAGAAGAAGAAGAAGAAGAAGAAGAAGAAGAAGAAGAAGAAGAAGAAGCAGACAATGTTTGTGACACTAGTAAAATGGAGTTGGTGTACAAATGTTGCTTATGATTATTTTGGTTGGCTGGTTGATGATGGATTCATGAGTAGTGAGGGTCACTGACATACTGCTGTAGTAGATTATATTATATAGACATCTTTAGTCACCAACATTCAGATTTGCCAGGACAGAAAGATAGTTTTCCCACATGCCCCCCCCCCCTCCCTCACCCCCACCCCACATACAAAAACTAAAAACCCTGCTACTATGTTTGCCCTCATCTAGCTCGCCCATACCATATTTTTATTTTTTCATTTTACTGTTGTAATTATTTCATGTCTTTAGTTTTGATTATCCTTGTCTGTTGTTTTGTTGATTTAGGTAACTTGCTGATACAGGCTCTGGAGCTGCAACATTAACTTGTTGTTTACATTTGTGATAATGTGAAGCTGACTGGTTCTACTTTTTGTTTGCTTGATGTAATCTCCCAGCCTGACAACAAGTCACTTGTGTAGCTATAGGAGTCCATAAACAATTGTTTTATGCATTGCAAGGTGTGTCTGGGATCTGACAAAAAGACAGTCGCTGTTTGTATCACCAGTGTCAATCCTACGGTTTCCAGTCCTGGATTGGGTCTACAGAAGTTTTAAAAATGACGAACAAAACCAAATTCTTTCCACACAAGGGACAGGTGGCTGTCAAATGTAAAATAATTCTAAAGGTGCTAATGATGTATACAATTACTTATCTCCATTTTTGTTACTTAAAAGTTGCTTTTCTATCAATTTCTAGATTAGGTCAGTGGGAGCATGACTGCATGTTTGCTCACTGCCATATCCCTCATGATAAACGCACACATATGCCTTGGCAAGCACACACAAACACACATAAACAGTGAAATATAACGTTTAGAGGTTTAATTAATCACATATGAATGAAGACTGACCAACCACTACTACTACAATAAAATATTTATTTTAAAGTATGAGTGTGAAATAAATATCATTATCTATGGAACATTCTCTTATCAAAGGTGCAGCTATATGTTTGGGAAAGGTTCAATACTTAATTATAATGCTTCTGTTTTCTATATACTATCTCAAACAGTTTTGTTCTTTTTTTTTCTTCTAACGTCTTAAAACAATCAAATTTGCAGCTTTTAATTTGTTTAATGTTCAAATAATTGGGAAATAACATAATCATAAATACTTTCCAAAGGTGATGCCAAGAAAAAAAAACCACTTTAACGAGATTATTTCTGTTTACCCATACCAAAGGCATTATTGCTTTAAACTTCACAATACAAATATATACAAATAACTATTATTTTTGCATCACAATGAGAACACATTTCTTCTTCTTCTTTATATCTCATGGCAGCTAAGCTGTAGTGAAAAGTAATGAACAAGTCTTAAGAGTATTATTAAGTTCAAAGTATCGTAACAATGATTTCAGCAATCATGATACTTCTCATTTTCACCTTCTTAAGGTGGAAAGTCCTGCTTGTTCATCTATTTCTTGACTTTTGTTATTTTGCAGGACTTGGGTGTTACATGCACATCTGTTTTACATATCTGGCTTATCCATATGCAGACTGCTTGTTCCTCACCCCTCAGGCAGATGTACTCAAACTTTAAAGGATCCGGTCTACGCTGGCCAGACCCTTGTGAGGAATCTTTCTGCGATGACCATGTAGAAGTATGGATAGCTCTTGACTAGTTTGAGCCCTGGTCTTGTGGTTCATCACTTCCACATCCCAGGGAACACAATGTCACCACATCATCCATCAAGAGCTGACTTTTCTATAAAATTATAGGGCTAGCACAATTTCCCACAAGGTGTCAACAGATCTGAAACACCCTCCACTTACTAATAATGATTAACTCTTTTGCTCTCAGAGGCATATTTCTTTAACTCTTCTTTTACCAAGCAGATTCTGTTTAAAGTCTGAGGGTTCAAGTTATAACATTATGGGACAAAAATAATAGAAGTAACAATCAGGACAGAAAGGATTAAAGTTATAGCTGGGTGAGATACAAAGAGCTCCAAAATGTAACTCAAATAAATGCATGGTGAGTTGTTTGGTTCTGAAAGAGTTAAATGCTTCATAACAGGAAATGACTGTTAAGATTGTGTGCGTGACTGTGTGTGTGTGGGTGGGTGGGTGCATAAAAGCCTGCACGTTTCTTTTTGTCTGGGTTTTTTTAAGTATCCAGAAACCATTAGTTGTTAACCCTTTCGGTCAGTACCATAGAAATCGCAACCCTTCGGCCTTGATTCCATGATATACTGTAAATATGGGAGAAATGTGGTTTTCCTGCCTACTCCCGGGCGTGAACCTAGACCACAAGGAGTTCTTTCGTTTCACAGATCTGGCTTATCTGCATGCAAACTGTTGGTTCTTTGCCAGATGCACTCACACTTCCCTAATCAGTCACCTTTCACGACATGCATGTAAGGAAAGCAGCGCATCCAACACCCTTTTCTTTTTCTTTCCCAAATGTGGCCCTGAAACCCACAAGGGGAGTAAGTAATCAATGTTCTTGAGATTGAGGAAGCAACTCTAAAGTTAATGCTTTTATCTTCCCCACCTTAACTTCCACATTTATTGTCTTGTGTCTGTTTTTTTTTAAAGCCAAGTTGACGTCAAATTTCCCCACTACCTCAGTAAGAGAGGTCACAGGGTTAGGATATGAGTTACTCGACAAAAATATTTTTTAGGCCCTTGGGAATATATTCCATTTAATGCTTCACTCCTTTCATGGCTACAGATTATTCCTTGTATATATCTTCACATTTACCAAAAATTTGTACATAAATAAATCTTTTTAAAATGTGTTCATGATGTAAGTAAAATTTTTGATTGTAAAGGACCTCTTTTGAGAATTCCAACAGGGTTATGACATATATTTTAGTGCTACCGGGGCGAAAGGATTAAATGCTTAATAGGAATATGCAAGTAGGATATAATTTTCAAAGACAAAAGCAAGACTAAAATGGGTAGCAGAAATGCCCTGCGAAGTAAATGTGGCCAGCAAGATACTGGCAAAATACCCATCAAGCATTTTATGCCCAATGTGGCACTGGCATTGAAAACAGTCTTTACTTTTTTTAAATATTACTATTTGTTAACTGGGTCATCTAAAATTAATACTTGGTGATTGGGTCGTTTACAATTAATACTTGGTTAACTAGGTCAGCTATAAGTAAGCCTATCTACAAGACGTGTACTCATTACTAATTTTAATCTTAGCCTCCCATTTAGACAATATGTGAATGAACTGTCTCATAATACTGCATATTTTGGTAAAACATTTACCTAATAGCTCTACAGTAGGAGGGCAGTCAACAGGTAAAATACCAAAATATTATGATTAGTGATAATTATTATCACAGCACTCTGAACAGATCCATAGGTGTTGTGATTTCCTCCTTAAAAGCTCCACAAGTGTAAAACGTCTGATGACGCCTGTCCCGTGTATTAATAAAACTTCTTTTTCCTTTAGTGAAGTGTTCATTTGTTGCAGATCCAGGCTGCACCCCAGTGTCCATCAGGCTAGACAGGGATACAGAGTGATGCCCTTTGGCATGCTTGTCGTCACGGCGAGTGCTGTGTATGGCACAGATAACATCATTTTGTCCGGTACTGGATAAGCCATAGCAACTAGTGTCTGCAAGATCATCTGCACGTTCTTTCCATTAAACACCGGCATGACTGGCACACAGAAGGTTAGGGCAGCCTTTTGCGGTGCTTAGTGCTGCAATCCATTACTGGCCAATGAATCCAGCCTGGACTTGTTAAGCATTTTCATCAAGTCACTAAGAAAACATACGTGTGTGAACTTTTGAGTACCAAGCCATGCTTATGCTCTTGTTACAGCCACAGTTTCCATTCTAAGGCTGCTGGTCATAACAAAAAGGCGCCACTCATCTCCTTGATGGTTTTCCCATTTGAGTTATGAGCTAGATTATCTTCACAGCACTCTGAACACATCAACAGGCGCTCAGATTCCACTCTCAAAATAGTGACCACCGTCGCACGGTTAATAGTGCCAGTCCTATGTTGGTTAACAAGATTATGTGTGCGTCCTGTGTGCTTCTCAAGCTTGGCTGTGCCGATCTTTACTCCAAATTCTCGTATTCTTTGCAGTGATGTGGACATGTTGCTTCCAAAATCCTCAGAACGTCCTATCTCTAGAAGGGCAAAAAGGAAAAGGAAAATGTGTTATTGGTTGCTTTAGGCGCTGGTATCCATTCCTCACCTGGATGGATATCTGTAAGGCTGCAAACCTGCATGATGTCATCCTCTGCTCTACCCAGCCATGATTTGCCCCTTTTAAGCCTATTGCCCTTTTTCTTCAAGAGCATGGGGTTTAAAGGGTGCTTAAGATTTGAGCTTATCTTGAGGTATGCATGAGCCCTCCAGATCTTGATCCTGTAGTTCATCGTAGGAAAGTCAAGAAGGTACCTCACTGTTACACCAGAGGTGTCTCCAGTGCACACCAGAATAATGCGCATTACTTCGTTTTGCACCTTCTCAAGTCTTTCAATCTGAGTATGGCTGTCAGTGAGGATGGCTAGAGCATATTCGATAGGAGAAAGTTCACATCTGAGCTTACTGTGAATGCTGTTACACTAATAACTCATGTCACAATTGTTTTTATGATAAACTGGAAGCACAAAAAGGATAGAACTGCAGGAGGAGCTGTAATAACAAATGAAAAACTATGTTCTAACTTGACTTTCTGTCCTGGATAACAATTACTGACCTCTGGTATTGAATTTATTTCTTCCTTAGCATTTTAAACCCCTGACTTTTATTGCTGCAGATATCACATGTCTCCATTTATCTCTTGATTTGCTTTCTTTTTCCAATGGTGAATCCAAGTATTTGTAAGGGTGCATATAAATACACTACTTCTCCACTGTCTTGTGGCCTACCCCCTTTCAACTCTTTTGTATATATAGTTTTGTGTCTCTGTAATTTGCCAATCTTTTTATATTCCCCAACAACTACATACAGTCTATTAGCCATCACCAAAAATCAATGGGTAATTTAAAGAGATGGTGAATTTAATTGCTGCTTCTTACTCTCCAATCTCTACTGTTTGTATCTTTGATGGGTACACAAATTCAATGTTAGACTGTTCTCAAAAACTTGTAATAAGGTTTTAGTTCTTGCAGATGTACTCCTGGTTTCAGAGCCGCATTAGACAATTGGTCAATCAGTGTTTTATACACTGTGATTTCGTTGTTACGAGACATAGCATTTGATTTTAGTAAATATTGTAGGGTGTAGCAAACCTTTCTTTTCCAGATTACATTCTAGACTGCATTTCTTCTTCTCTGGTATCGAATGAGCTAATTATGTGTCTTATCTTGTTGCAATTTTAGACATACTGAAGCAAGGCAAACATAAGCACTGAAGGATCTGCCCAAGAAGCAGCTACATTGATCATCAACAACCATGTGCCACATTTAAAAGGGTATGTAGCAAAGCAATAGCAATTTATCACTTGAAAGTAACATAAAGCCACAGAAAAGTAAACACAAGCGGTCACTGAAATTGAGGAACAGGGTGAGTTCAAAATTCTACCAGATGTTGTTGCTGATGAAGTGCTAGGCACTAATTCTGTAGTGACTTCAGTAGTACCTTCAGAAACTGAGACCATATTACACAGAATTATCAACCAAATAGCTTAACATTGGGACTTCTAAGGAAAATAAGATCACATTACATAAAACTGTTCAAGTAGACAGTGTATTAATGTGACTTCTTAAAAAAAAAAAAACATTTTTGGCATTGGCAAGCTACAGTATTATTGTTGCAACTTTTTAGGTACTTGTGATCACATTACACAAAATATAAGCAAATACTGTAATACTATGGTAACTTTCCTACAGAAATGAAATCTCTTTATGTGAAATTATCAAGTAAATAAAGTATTAATGTTGTGTCTTCGTCTCTCATAATAAGGAAATGCGATGGAATTATCACATACTGTAACAATAGTGTGACTTTTTTTAAAGAAATCAGATCACATTGTATGAAAATATGAAGTAAATATAGTAACAATGCTTTTGAATGTATCTGCATCTTAAGTAAAAAAGATATAAAAATATCAATCACTCATAGTATTAATGTTTTGATTTTATCAGCACATTAAGTAAATAAGATTGCGTTATCTAAAATCATCAAGTAGAATATCTTTTACTCTAACTTAATTTACATTTTAAAGTAAATGATAACAAATAATATCAAATTATCAAGAAGCTATAGCGTTTATATTGTGATTTCTGCATCTTATGGAGGAGATAAAAGAGTTTAGAGTTATGAGGTATTGCATAATATATTAATGCAAACTACTATATTTGTGAATAGAATTTACAAACTATCATTTGGCGCTCAAGTACTGGGAACTCATAAGTATCAAAAGAAGCCCAGGAAACTGTACAAGGGCTTTATCAGTTGAATAGGTAAAAATGCATTTGTGCATTTCACCTAAAGCTCACAATTGTTACAAAAGTAAATTTAAAAAAAAAACATACCTAATCAAACAAGCCCGTACACATGCTCTCTCACTCTCTCTCTCTCTCTCTCTTTTCAACTTACACCCAATATTCAAAGAATTAACAGCTTTAAAGAAAAGACAAGAGACATACTAGGCAGTCCTCCGGAAGACAGATGAAAACTGTGAACTGATTTCAGAAATTGTGCGCACAGTTGGTGTTTTTCCACACACGTTATGAGCAGGAATGGACTCAATAACTTGGTAATGACTGGCCCATTTGCAGAAAAAAGATCAAAGAAATGGCAAAGAAATAAATACATGGATAAAATGGCCATATGGATTAGGATGTCAAGAACACTGACCTGACCGGTGATTCTGGTGATTGAGTGAGACACCAGTCTGTTATTACACTAGTCGAAGATCATAATGTTTCAGAAATAAAAACAGCTGATCTGAACTAATTTTAGCGTGCTGAAATCAAAACCAAAAAAATGTTAAAATGTTGACTAGCTCCAGTTTTAGTCTACTTTATTATTTTTTTTTTTTTTGCGTATCCTTTACAGTACGTTGCAGAACCAACCCCAGCACTCTCTGGCTATTGTGGCTTTTCTAGGCAAATCTACGTCCAGTAGTTTGCCATTGCTTTTTGGATGGCAATTCTCTGTACCACGGTCGAACACATCGCAAGACAAACCATCCGCAGCAGGGATTGAACCCGGGACACAGACATTACAAAGCACATTCGCAACGCCTAAGCCACAGACTTTGTCTACTAGTTTAATTGATTATGGTCAATTAATATATATGATGCAATCGTTGTAAGCGATCACATATTTTTTTCCTAATGGCCAGTATAAATTAACTATAATAATTTGATGTTCTTATCATACCTATGATTACATCACCTTTTTGTATAACTATCTTATCTCTGACACAAAATATGTATTTATTCCTAATAAAAAATGATCCTAATATGTAAATAAAGAAAGAAAATTAGTAATGCAGTAGTCATGTTTCTAAGCATTATTTCCAAGAAATCTCAGAGCTTCATGGCCTATTTTTAGCATTCGCGGGGCTAAAGAGTCAACATATTGTGACACTGATTGCTTCTTTGATTTTTTTTTTTAAATTAATATGTAAATAAAAATGTTATTTATTAGAGATGTTTTTAAATTTTATTTCTAGGAATTCTCATGGGTGCTCAGCATATATTGTTAGCATCCCTAGGGCTAAAGAGGTAATATATTTCTGACATTGATTAAAAAAAAAAATTAACTAGATAGTGAAAAACATGTTGAAAGGGAGAGTAAAGTTACCTATTTGGGTACTTAGATCTCTAATCCTTCATCTGTTTGTCCACAACTGTCACACAGTTCTCCACTATACACAGAAACCTTGGTTTTGCAATCCCCATTTAATAATAACAGGAAATAACAGATAAATTCTGCAGCCATTGATTTAGTATATTTTTCCAGTTTCAAAGTTTCAGCCTTGTGGCAGCACTGAAGAAGAGCTGCTGCTCACTTTAAATTACAGTGTACATGTATTTTACATTGTCACACTAGATACTGTGCTTGACTAAAAGTATTACTGATGTCCTTGTTGTAATGTAATAGTTGATGCTAGCCATTACTGATCCAGTGCTGATAACCACAGACAATTTGCATTATTGGATGCACGTTTTAACCCTTTTGCCTATTTAAAAAAATTTTTTTTTAAACATGACACAGTAAAAGATAAAACCCAAGGGTGGTGGAATGGATTTCATCCATAATATCAAAAGGAAAACACAGGTAGAACCAAACAGAGGTTTAGACTGTGAGTACTATATGATGTATAAACATCATAAGATGATGATGATGACACTAGAAATAGTCACTTGAGCAGGCCGAATTAGGATATCTGCCTGTAACCTTAGAGTACCAGGTACAAATCATATGGATAACAATAAAGTGATACCAGCAACAAAAATTTGAATTTTTTTATCTGGGATTACTTTTTTATATATACAGTGTGGCATGGTAGTAAGCTTTTGATATTAGGTGAAAATCAAACAAGTGTAGGCTGAAATAGCTGCTGTCCAGGATACATTTCATTACATTTATAAATCTCTCTTTCTCCCTCCCTCCCCCTGCCTCTCTCTCTCTCTCTCTCCTTCTCTCTCTCTCACCCATTTAGAGCCATCTGTAAGAGTCTAGCATCATGTCTGATAATCTATTGGCAGAAGGGTTCATTATGTATTGGACTTTTACAAAGCAAATAAGTTAAAGGTCGAGTGCGACTGCCAAAGAACTCAACCAAGCTGTTCATTTACTTTTTTTCATAAAGCTCTGTGGGGTCTGTTACTGTTTTGATGAGAATAACTGCTTCAGTCAGTTGCAAAGGCCATTTTGTTCAAATTGCACTCTCAAAAATCAAAATAATGTCCCAGTGCTGTGTTGTTTTAACCTTCTAACTGTTCTTGGAATCGACCAATAGTATTCCTAGATAGTCCTAAACCATGTTAAACAATACCCTTGATGCCGATAATGGACCATTTTTTCCTGGCCACAGGTGGAGAAGGGGCCTTTCATTACACTGACATTTATATGATCCAGGAATGTGTTGTCCTCATATCACTGTCATGTGGTAATCACATCCTGACAACATAGTCTCAGAACCAATTATATTCACTAGGTTCTACATCTCCGTATTCACAGACTGTTCTGTAATGAGATCCATTCTGTTCTTCACTCAGTTATCTGAGTTCTCATGATGAACATAGTCATGAACATAGTTGTATCTTTTTTACACATGTGACAATTAGCAGTAACCACCAGGCTAAACATGTAGATATTGTGAGCAAATGCAACTTGAAAAATTATGAACTACCATTCTCATTACCATCTTCAGGTAGCAGATCCCTCGTAGAACATTGGTCTCATCTCAGTAAGCCTCTCGATCTCTTGCCAACTGTCCGGCCTCATTAACTATTACACCCAAAGTGTCCTTGATATCCAGTGTCCACTGCCCCTTCTTCCAGAAGCCATAGTCTCCCCTACTGTTCTGCTCCAAACCATTATGATGGCTTCTGTGAAATTTTAACTTCTATGAGTCAGTCTCCTTGAATATTCAGATCCTGAAGAATGTCAGTGTTTTCCTTCTGTATGGTCCATGATACTCCAAAAATCTGCTTGTGACATTTAATTAGAATATTCATATTCATATGTTTCAACAGGAAAGATGCACGTTCTCATGATTTTTTTTCTCTTAAGTTTTTTGCTGTCTTTCTCAGCTTCCCCATATATATGTTTATAAAGTACTTTCTAACTCAACCCCCCCCCCCCCCCCCTTCCCCCCCCCCCCCCATTTTTCACCCAAAAGCTTCTCTGTATCAGGAAGAATACACACAATGAACACAATAGGAATTTGCAGGCACTGAGCAATTAATTTACAGTGTAGCCATGAAGCAAGCTTTCTGGGGTACTGAGATTTAAAATTAAATTGTAAGAATGTACCAGCAGCAGTTGTTGTTGTGGTTTCACTTTCTGTTGTGTTGCTGGATTCATCTAATATTATGAAAAATACAACAATCTGTAACTGCATTTAAACGAACAAAATTATGAGCTCTCCAGCTTAACAATGAACCAGTAAAACAAAATACAAAGCATGCTAACTACCAGGGACTTCTGAAGTGATGCTTGCCACTATGCATGGAGCATGCTTGTCTTCATCTTTCTCAACATGCTTTGTGAACTGGTTATCTTTTTTTTTTTGTAAGGACTGATTATTATTCCCATGAATTAGGCAGGAAATATTACCAATGGCTGAACATGTTCACAAATACAAACTACATCTCCAGAACAGATAATGATGTGAAAAATGCAGTTTAAAAAAACCAACTGACATAAATGAAGAAACAATTGAATATAACACATGCAAGTGTTACAATTGCAAATAAACATTAAAAATGTAGGTAAGCGGTCCTGTGAAATTTTTAAAAATTGTGAGTGGGTATGCGATTAAATACTGAAGTTATACCTCTGACCATGTAACAATAAAAACACGGGTAGCTCTAACGGATGGGCAATACATCACACAGGAGATCATAAGAATGACCATATGCCATGCTCAGTCTTGATTTCTAAAGCTAGCAAGGTCAGGGTTGTGAGAACGCGCAGAACTTTTAAGTATGAGAGGGTCCCTCGCCAGAAGGTATGTGGCAGAACTACCACCTCTGTGTTTGTGCAGCCTCCATGGTGAACCCAAAAAGTAGAAAAGGCATGGAGAGCAAAGCGAGCAGCAGTTAAACAATTACAGAAAGTGCAAAAGGCACCTCACAGGTTACAAGAGGATGTAGGGAAACTAGAAAAAGTTGGAAAAGAAAAAGTAGAAGAGTTCAAGTGTTTTGCAGCTGATGAAAAAAAAATGGCTAAATGGGAACAGTTTATGAGCGAAATTGGAGGGGGATAAATCACTAGGTAGGTTTTGGAAACTGCACAGACATAAGCAAAAGTAGGATCGGCCTATCACAACAGGCATTATATACACTGATAATGATATGCCAATGACAACAGTCAAAGAGAAAGGGGAAGCATTTTTGAAGAGATTTACAGCCCAAACCGATCATAATGACAGGGAGCTTAGAAATTCAGTTAGAGATAATCTGTTTAATACTATAAAAGATAATTATTTTCAAGATATCATTAGGGTGGAGGATATAAAATATCTATTGCAAAAAGCAAAAGACTGCGCCGGGGCCAGATGGAGTGAGATATGCCCACATGAAGAGCATGAGTGATGAAGACTTAAGGGAGATGGAACTTTAACCAGAGCGCCAGAACAGCATCAGCACCAAAGGATTCGGTACACAGCTACCTGGCATTTACAGCTCGCTCTTCAGGCAGAACAGTTCAAGAAGCCAGCGGTGCCTTCTCCATGACTACCAGCAGCATGACGATGGAAGTGATGGCGGTGACACAAGCTTTACTGTGGCTAGAATCACAGGACTATTCCCATATGTGTGTACTGAGTGACTCTTTGAGCATGATCCGGCAGTTCAAGGCAGGCTGGCTACGCAGATAGTGGTTTGAGTCGTTGCAAAACTCTCCTGTGCATGCAGTTACCTTCATATTCGACCCAGGGAATGCAGGTGTTGTTAATGAGAGAGCTGATAGACTGGCAGGTGCTGCATTATTTGAAATTGGCTGGCCCATGGATCACACAGATATTGTCATTGGCCTTAGAGAGATAGTACGTTCAGAGGATTTTGGAAGCAACGTGTCCACATCACTGCTAAGAATACGCCAATAGGAAGTAAAGATCGGCACAGACAAGCATGAGAAGCCCACCGGATGCACACAAAGTCTTGTTAACCAATATAGGACTGGCACTATTAACCGCACGACACTGATGAATATGTTGAAGTGAATCTGAGCGCCTATGAATGTGTCTGAAGTTCTGTGAAATAATCTAACTCATAACTAACACAGCTACCTGATCCCCCTTCCAAAACCAGGCAAAGATCACTCCAGACTTAGCTGGTTCAGATTATCACCCTACAAAATACTTCTGGCAAAGTGCTAGAGAAGATTATTGCTGTTAAACTACAAATGTTTTTGGAAAGGGAAGAGCTGTTACCAAAAGGTTTAGGTAGTTACCAGCCATGAAAAGATACATGGTCTAATGCAGCTACTTTTGCTTTTGATGTTTATGAAGGGTTCCAGAATAGACAGGAGACAATTGTGGCAGCACTTGATCTTGAGAATGCCTACAATAGAGTCAGATATGACATTTTAATATCTGCACACATGGAGAAGGAAGTTTGTCCCTAGTTTGTGAACTGGATAGCAGCTGTCCTGCATTCGTATATGGTTTCCTTTGCCTGGGTACATGGACCTCAGAACCATGTAATGTAGCCCCAGGACTACCCCAGAGTTCTGTAATTTCACCAGTGCTCTTTAATGTGTATACAAGCAAGACTGAAGAACTTGAAGCACCAGGTGTTGGAAATATTGACGTTTGCTGATGATGTTCTTGCATATAGGCAAGGAAATGATATACAAGGGATAGCCCAAGAACAAAGAAAAACGAGTACATGAAACAAAGAATGCTGTTCAAAATGTTCCAGCATGTGATCCGGTGGATGACAGATTATGGACTTGGCATGCTTACCATATCACAGAGTCGAGCGCATACAAAATAAAGCCATGCGGGTAATTCTAGGATGTACAAGAGACACCAGGGTAGTATGTATGCGATATATACTTTCATTGCCCACTTTTGCAGACAGGCTCAAAGTTCTGCAGGCAAAGTCATATCTCAGAGTAGCTGTAGACAAGAAGCACCACCTGCATGAAGCCCTGGGTACAGCTAAGGGTTACAGATTGAAAATAGGAAAGTCTTGGATGGCACAAGCTGAAGACACAATCAAACATGTGTGCACGCTTGATAATTTTAAACGAGGAGAGAAGTGTGTCAAGGTGTCAGAACAAGTTTCAGACTTGTGTAGGGTTCTAATTATGTTAAGTCGTAAGTGCAGGGACACGACGGATGATGTTGCAGAATCAGAAGTTTAACAAATGATTCATGACCATTCCTGCCCAGGTGATGTGATTATCTATACAGATGGCTCTGTGCTGAGGGGCAGAAGAAGTGCATGGGTTTCATAGCAAAAGCGAATGCACATCGCCTGGTGCAGCAAAGCCTTGCATATGATATCACAAAGTCTAGTTTGAGAATGGAGGTAGAGGCAATCACTGCTACATTCCGCTGGCTTGAGAATCAGCTGTACACACATGCAGTGATTGTAACTGACTCACACAGCATGTTGAGACAGGTGAAAATAAGCATGCTTCGGGCAGAGTGACAAGCATCACTTCAGAGGTCCTGGGTAGTTAGCATCCTTTGGATATTTGCTCCAGGTTAAGCTGATGTGTTGGGAAATACGCAGCAGATAGACTGGTTGGCTCTGCACCACTTGATGTATGACAAGTTAGATATTGTGAGGGCCCTTTGGGTACAGATGAACAGTGTGGAGGCGCAGAAAGATCATTATGGTCTGAGGAGAATGGCACTGCGAGAAGTTACCAGGGGATCTGGTTGACACTCAACACTCAGGGAAAGGATGGGATATACAATCAGATGTTTACTGGTACCATCGGAATTGGAACTCTTTGCTTGCTGCTGAAGATGGGAACTGTGCACTTATGGGAGTGTCCTGAGTGCTGTGATGTTGATTCTTAATTCAACATTCAATTCATCACATAATAAATGTATTTCCTTGATTTTATTTGTACCTGTTTTACCATATCAGATTTGCCAAAAGGTGCAGGTTTCAAAGCCTAGCAGTAAATGACAGCACAATATTTAAACTGCCCTTTTAAAAGTAAAGGTAGAAAAAGAAGAATAATTTTCAGCTGTCAACACAAGTCTCTATGCAACTGGAAAAAACAACTTATTTTTTCCAGTAATGAACCCTGAAAGACACACTTCCCTTCTACCAATTCACTGTCCCCATTATTATTTGTGTTTGTATTTTGCTTACTGTCACTTTAACACTGTTGTATATTTCTCACTTCATCTTAAACTTCCCTCCATATTTCTACTTCTTACTACTGCATGTACCCATCTCTTCCCAGAGACACCTAGCCATGTGGGATAAAACCTGGTATAAAGAAAGAAGTCAATCCTCTTAACTTTAAAATTGTCCATACTATTACCCACATAAAATACCATAATTTCACAGTATATGTTTTACACATCCCCCCCCCCCACCCCCCTCCTCCTTCGTTCATTTCCAGGGTCACTAACCCACACCCTCTCACCCATCTGTTTGCATATACTCTACAGTGTTCTACCATGGTAATTCATAGCCAAATTAAAAATATAACAAATGGGACACTTCCCTCTGTTTTTTTCTGAACCTTTAAAAAGAATGTTTAAAATGCACATTCAAAGTTGTAAGTAACTTACACTCAGCAAGAAAAGCTATACACATTAATGACATGGTGGTGTATAAAAAAATGAGCAAGCTGATAGGCTTGTGTGTAAGTCTAATGGGGGGAGGGGGGGGGGGGACCTCATCACCAATGTAGTTCCTACTGATCTATAACAATATGAGTCAAGCGTCACATGCTCGATGTGTCACTGGCATAGGAAGCGTCCTTTACTACTGACTACTGTCAAGTGCAAATCTGTGTGCTATTACAGTGTTAATTCTTTCTTAGCTTATAATGTTGTTACAGTAGTTACTGGATACTAAAATCTGATATTGTTAATTCTTAATATGTGTTTCTAGTTGCAATACATACAATTTGTAGAAAATATGTCGCCAAATTTCTCTTGTGAGAACAATCTGTTTATCACCAGCATCTGTCTTATTTATCTTTGTAAAAAAAATAATTTTTAAAAAGTCAGTTTCAGCAGAATCCACTTATCATGAATTTTTGGAAATTCCTGTTGATTAAATGTGTCCAGACTATATAGTTTGAAGGCAAACTTTTTCAAATGCACTGACATTTGTATAACATTTCAGCTATTTTAGAATTTGATATTTTTAGAATTTGAT